CTCAAAACAAATATATATAAAGAAACCAAACAAATGCAAAATAAAATTAGTTTGCCATCATCAAAAGTAATACAGGTTTCTAAAGTTTATTTGATAGAAGTTAAGAAAAACCTGCAACCACATCAGCAAAAACTTATTAAAAAAAGTTAAAAATTATTTTATTTCTAATAAAAAAAATAAAAAATTGCGACAGCGTCATAGTTAATGCGTTGGGAGAGAACATTGATTAAAACACGTAGTAAAACTTATTAATGCATTATGTACAATAGAAAACAGGTTATTAACGCGTGTTTATAAAATTTTTTCACCTAACACACTATTATGCTGCCGCAACTCCAAGGATTTTTATAGTTATTATATATATATATATATATATATATATATATATATATATATATATATATATATATATATATATATATATATATATATATATATATATATATATATATATATATATATATATATATATATATATATATATATATATATATATATATATATATATATATATATATATATATATATATATATATATATATATATATATATATATATATATATATATATATATATATATATATACCCAGACAGCAAGCTTACATTGGCCCAATGAAAGTTTTAACATTGGCAAGTTTATTCCGTTGGGCCAACATTTAGCCAATGTTTTTTTTCGGCGTATTTTTTTTAATTCTGCCAACCTTGCAAATATTGTATTATATTGGGCCAAATATTAGCCAATGTTTTTTTTTCGGCGTATGATTGCAATTCTACAAATCGGTTTTTTTCAATTATCGTACTACGTTGGGCCAATATTTGGCCAATGTAGTTTAGGCTTAATATTTTGCCAAAAAAAAATGTTTTTACTTTTTACCGTAGCCAATATTCGGCCAATGTAGTTTCGGATTAATATATACTTTTAAACTGTTTCGAAACATTTTTTAAAAATGGTATCGTTTGACAGAATAAAAAAAGGTGTTGATACTATTATATATCTTTCCAATTAAATTATAAAAATAGAAAAAAGAAGCTATATTTATTAATCTTCTAAGAATCTTAAAAGGTTTCTTATAAAAAGTAAACTTCAAGAGATTTTCGTGACTTAATGTTTTGTTTATTTAAATGAAATATTTGTTAACATTTAAATAATATGCTTAAAACATTTTTTACTACAATCTAAATTATTAATGTAATAATAAAGGCAATAATCAAATTTTTTTTTGTAAGACCTTAAAGTTATTTTTTTATTTTTATTGCTGTATTGGCATTTCAAATGTTTGTTTTATTTAATAATCTTTATTAAAATTTAATAAATAAATTATATATATATATATATATATATAAAATAATAAAATTTAATAAATTAAATTTAATTCAAATTTAATTTATTAAATTTTATTATTATTATACAAAAATTATTATTATTATTTATAAATAAATGAAACATTTCAAATGTTCGATTTATTTAATAAAGAAGACATTTTAAATGTCTTCTTTATTAAATAAATCAAACATTTAAAATGTTATACAGTTTAATTTTTTTTTCATTATTTATAATAGTTTAGATTATATAGCTATTATAAGATATATTATTAAGGGTATCAGTAATATATATGTGACATTGAAATTGTTAGAAGCTGATATTTTACATTTTAAATATATCTCTTTTGTTTGATCTTTTCTGTGTTTGATTATGTAACCCCATCTACTAACATATTAAAACAGTGTACAAAATGTGACGTTACTAGAACTTATATTGTACTTAAGTAGAGTTTTCTAACATTCTATCTATCCGAGGCAGAGGGATATTATTCTTGGTTTAAATATTTTTTCATTTAATATCTCTGGATATTTTTCATATTTAGTTTGCGTACAACAGTTAACAACTTTAAGCTTATACATTAACTTTATTTATAATTTAATTATTAATAACTTGATTTATGGATTTTTAAAGCAATGCAAGATTGAATTTAGCATAAGGCATAATTTCTGCTTTGGAGACAAAAAAGGAAGACAGCGACAATGACTAGTCAAAATATAGATTTAAAGAGACAAAAAATTGTGTATATTTTGGTGTAGATGATTTAACCTCTTTTTCTTATAATAAAACAAAAAATATTATTAAACTTTGGGATTTACCTGTAACTCCAAAATCTTTACAGAAATTTAAAGTTTGCTCTGAGAAGTTGAATGAACAAAATTATTAAATGGTAAGTGTCTAATGATTGAAAAACTTTATTCATAGCTTTAACTTTTACAATTTTAAAAACTTTTTCATATATTACGGTCAAAAAGTCAAAGTGTTAATTAACATTCTAGTATGTAATAATCAAAATATCAAAGCTTACACCACAGGCTTGGTCAGGAAGCGAGAGCGATTGCTCTCGAATACTGACCACAGAAAATATATTTAGTTGCGAAAAACTGGCCAGGTTTTTTAGTTGTTTTGAGAACATCAAAGTTTATGAACAAAACAAAAAAATTTTGTTGGATTTAAAAGTTAGTGTCAGCAACTTTGAAAACCATTTGAAATCAAATGTTGAAAAAAACAACAGTATTTGTATTTATATCAGTATTCATATCAGTTTAAAGTTTTAACAGTTGCTGGTGATTCATTATTATTCATTATATAAACGTTTATTTAAATTAATCTAATAGACGAAGGTAATACAATATTTTTATAGATGATATTTATTTTTAGAAATAGTGTTATTAAAATTCATAACTAAAATATGTTAAAAAAATTATTTACAAACATTGGATAAGGTCCGTACTGTACCTTGAAAAGCTGGAAAATTTGTTAATATTGGCTAAAGTCGTGGGAAATCTGGAAAATTCAGGAAATTATTTTTTTTCTTTAGATAGTCATGGAAAAATCAGTAATTCTAGTTAAGAAGTTATTCGTTTCACAAATGAACGCTGTATTTTAAAAACGTGATGAGTCACACTTTTTTTTAAAGTGAGGTTATTTGAAAAAAATATTTTAAAAAAATATTCTTTTCAAATAACCTCACTCAAAATAAAAGAATATTAAGATAAAATAAAGATTTTTTAGATAAAATAAAGATTATTTTAGATAAAGTAAAGATTTTTTTAGAGAAAAGAAATAGTCTTTTAGATAAAATAAAAATAAAGTTTTTTAAGGGAGAAATATTTTTACTCCCTTAATGTGACAAAGTCACAAAATTAAAATGTGACAAGTCACAAAATTAAAATTTTGATTTTGTGACTTGTCACATTTTCAAAATACAACGCTCAATTAAGCTATAATGTTATTTTTGGTATTACCCATTTATTTTTTCTGAAATTTATGTTTTTCTTAGTGTTCATTCTTAGTCGTGATTGAAGTACAACTTGGTAAACTACCAAACACATCAAATTCAAGTATAAAAATTTGAGTAACAAAGGTATACTTATTTTTGTATTGCCTGAAAGAATGTCATTGCTATTAAAAGCAGTGAAGCATTCCAGTACTCTGGAAAAAAAGAAAATACGAAAGTAAATGGTAAATTTTTTTTTATAATTTTTTTGTGCATTTTGTATGATATCTTAGTACAATTTATATACTTTAAATAAAATACTCTTTAAAGATTTTTTGTAAATTGCATTTCATATTAATTTAAATCTAAACAAAAGTTACTTTAATTATTGCCAGGTTGTGTATTTTTGCAGGTCAATTATTTGGCAAAAATCGGAGTTAAAGACAAAGGAGATTGTATATTTTATTTGCTAAGAATCGTTTTTTAGAATGGCCTAGTTGTGAAATTAAACTAAGCAGGGAGAGGACAAAAAATTGGAATAGAAAAAATATTGATTGCGTATGCTGCTATTGGTAAGTGGTTTAGAAAAGTTTATTTTTTTAGTTTTAATTTTGCATTACAGAATTACTTTCAATTTGTTATGTTTCTTTGGTGCATAATTAAACAAACAACTTTTTTTTTTTGCAGAAACTGTGAAGTCAAATAAGCACGGCTTATGCAGACATGTGATAGAGATAGAGGAAGAAGAAATAATAATCGTGGGCACCAAATATCATAAGCTAAACACTATTCAATAACAAGTAGCTCAGCCAATATCGAAACTACTCTATAAATTTTATAGTGATTTTTTTTATTTAATGTGTCAGTTTTAATTAATGTGTCAGTTTTTGGTTTAAGTTTGATGTTTGCAATATGTTTATTTAACCGATAAATTATGTTTAATAAATTTTTATACTTGTATCATACACTCTTTTTTTTTTTCTATAAAATTTGAATGTAGCGATGCAAATCATCTTATTTATAACAACGATCTAATAATGTTGCATAAAACGTTAGGCCGATATATAACATACGATATTGGGCTAATGTTGTATACAACGTTGGGCCAATGTTGAATACAACGTTAGGCCAATGTTGTATATTATATAAAATATAATATGTTGTATATTATATAAAAATATATATTATATATATATATATATATATATATATATATATATATACATATATATATATATATATATATATATATATATATATATATATATATATATATATATATATATATATATATATATATATATATATATATATATATATATATATATATATATATATATATATATATATATATATATATATATATACCCAATCTGCAACGATATACCGATCCGGCAATGGCCCAGCGCAGGCTGCGGAGCTGGCCCGTATCTGGCTGGCCAGCACTGGGCCAGCGCCGATTTGCTCACTGGCTTTGTCACGGTCCGGCACTGGCTTGCCAGTGCAGGCGCAGTGCTGGTGTTTCAGTGGTCCGCCATTGGCAAGCCAGTGATGGCTTATCAGCGGTCCGCAAATGGCAAACCCGAACTGGTCTAACGCAGGTCCCCAAATGGCTCACCGGAGCGGGATTAACGGTCCATCAAAAAAGCTTTAATAAATATCTAAGGAGCTTTAATAAAAAATATTTTAAAATTATTCAACAAACCATTAATACCCTTATAATTTGTAAAATAACATAAAACCAGGTATAAAGAAATATATTCTGTAATTTGAACTAACACATGTACATAATAAAAACATAACCACAACATAAAATACAATATTAATACACGAAAAATATAACTACATTATGAATATGGGAAACAACTTTTAAAACGTTTCTAAAGAAACTATAAGGTAGCAGCATTTAGCATAACTAATTTTTAACATAACTAATTGTTTGAGTCGTCTGAGCAGAAAAGTGGCAAATGATGCAGTAAAACTTCCGCTGAAGTTTTAGGCGCTACTAAAGGTTGTTCTATAACTGCCGACGAAGCTGTAGGCATTAGTGCACGATGTTCAAAGTGAGTTTTTTTTATTGATTGTCGAATGGCTCTTTGTTTTCTACCACCATTACGATCACTAGCCCCTGCTAAATAGTGAACCACGGCCTTCTGCACATCACTTTCTGAAGCACCTTTCGTTGGTGGATTTCTTCGCAATGCTCCTGCAAATGTGCATCATAATATAATACGCAGTTATGCCCTGACTTAGTTCACATTATTATAATAACATTTAATATTACTAAATAAAATATTTTCTATACATTAAGTATTTCTAGTAATTAAAATTTAATATCATAGAATAAGCAATTTTGATGCAGTAAAGAACTGTTTCTGAGGTTCATTTGCTAAATTATAGGTGATATTAACAAAAATTAAGTTTCGCTTACTTTCCAGAACTTGTCGGCATTTCAAGTCACGAAAGGGTTTTTTTAGATTTTCACCAAGTCCTGACCAATTCATTTGTTTTACTACGTCGTTTTCCATTGGAGAGGAAACCATCCTTCTAACGGCTTCCTTCAGGTCCTGACCGCCCTTCGAAGCAACACCATGCACCTAAACATTAAACCGTCGACATTTAATTGATTATTTCATCTGCATTTTAGCAATATCATAAAAATCATAGAAATAAATAAAAACAGTAACTAGGATGAGGCCAGGTTGCATTTGAAAAAAAAGCATTTTTGATTAGCAAAGATATATCTTGCTCAATTTTTATGCTAAAATTTGCTTGAATTAGAGAATTTGCTAATAAAAAAAGGGGAGGCGATCGAAACACGAACCTCCAGGGGGTTGGTGTTTCGATCGGTACAAACCTGAAGATGAAGCAAAACTATAAGTAAGATTAAATTTAGTTATAGATTGTAAAGTATTGCTTACTTCAAATAGATCATAAACTCTCGCATGCAAATATTTTTAATACATAAGATGTTTTTAAGATATCAAATTTTTTGGAGAAATTTATTATTAAGTCAAATTGTACTTACAAGTTTATTAAATAAAAGATTGTCTTTAGTAATTATATCTTCAAGCTGCTGCAGCTGTTTTCGGTCACATACAGGAAGATCAAGAGTTTCAAAAATGTTGCCATCGTCTTGTATCCCACCTTGTGACAAAGTCTGCAACATAGTAGTGTTGTAAGTAGTCTGCTGAAGATTAGCTACTTCGCTTTTCAGCTCAACTAAAAGAGTAAATATTTTATTTAAAACACTGTTTGATGTTTGTGCAGATGTATGACTAGCTGCTGTAGACAATTCTGTGGCATTCAAACTAGTAGCTGGAATTGACAAGCTAGTCGGAATATTAGGAACAAGGTTGGCTATCACTTGTTCTAACTCTCCTTCTATAAAGGCGCCTGCTGAAACAAATGATATATCTTCTAAATTACGCCAACTGATTGTATGCAATTCTGATGCTGCATGTGTTGAAGTTCGGTAACAAGCAGCAGATGTAGATGTTGCAGATTGCCAACTACTTGTGGTTGCAGGTGTTACAAATTGTTGACTAGCTACATGTGATGTAGATAACTCAGAGCCTCGTTCAATAGCTCTAGTAAATGGCTGTGAAATTGATTCTGGTATGGCTCGTTCACTGATTACAGGAGATGAAGGTGTTAAAGAGCAAGGACTAGACACAGGAAATGGAGGTGCTTTAGGGGCTGGTCTGTGAGATTTAGTTTTTGATCGACTGTTGCTCCCTTCTGCAGAACCTTCCCTTTTCTTAGAAACTTGGCAAAGGGGTTGTTTATTTTTTTGCTGAGAATTCTTGTCAAAATACTCATCACTATTATCGTTGTCATCTTCAAGATATTTCTGAATACTAAACACACACAAAAAGGAATAATAAATTACGTAAAGTGCAATATATTTATATACGTAGAAATTTCATTGCACTATTTGTTTTTCAACACAATAACTATTTCGTTTATTTAATTAATATTACTTTATATAATAAATTAATTTACTCTATATAATACTTGAATTTACTGTTTTGTACGTAGTCTTGAAACATCTACATCACTCTGTAAATCTGATGTTATCTCAGCTTTACCAAGTTCAGATCTGGCCTTTGCATACGAATCTGTGATAAAAATTGTAGTAAACTTTAAACAAAATGTTGATTTTGAATCCTGCTGATATATTATTCATTTTATTTAACTCAGAAAATGAAAACAAACATATCTAGAAACATAAAACAAGTCAAGTCAAATTTAATATTTAGGAAACTAATATATCAATGTGTCAGTAATATATATTTGACATTTGTGAACAATACCAATTTATGTTTGCATCCTTTTATTATAATGTCAATGTCAATGATATTATAATAAAACATATAAAACTTGCCTTTGGTCCCTAAAATTCGACAAGAATGTTTAGACCATTTTTCAGATGGTATTTCACAATTTATTGCCGCTTTATTTTTTCTGTCTTGACTGGTATATGGAGGCCAATAACACAACTCGCTGTTGATCAGCCAAGCTGCAAGCACAACTGCAACTGTATCATCCTCCTCCAAGAAGGCAACAATAACATACTTTTCCATAGACATCCTGAAAGTGCAGAACATTATAATAAATCTGTTACAAACTCAATTATAATATACCTACAACATAATATAGTATTTTATATGTATGTATATATATATATATATATATATATATATATATATATATATATATATATATATATATATATATATATATATATATATATATATATAGTATATATATATATATATATATATATATATATATATATATATATATATATATATATATATATATATATATATATATATATATATATATATATATATATATATATATATATATATATATATATATATATATATATAAACAGTAAATAAAAGCTGAAAAGAAAAATAAGACTTACTTTTAAGTAAAACCTTTCTCAATATTTTTCTTCTGTTATTTAAAAATTCTCATTTTATACAGTCAAAAATAAGGAAGTAAAAAAACAATAAAATATTTTATGTTGTAATAAAGTAATTCCACAAGTTCATATAATTGAAGTACTTAGAATACTCATTTTATAAAGTCAAATATAAGGAAGTAAAAAAACATTTAAAAATGTTATGCTGTAATAAAGTAATTTCACAAGTTCATATAATTGAAGTACTTAGAATACTCATTTTAGGTAGTCAAAAATAAGGAAATAAAAAAATATTTTATACTGGAATAAAATTCCAGAAAGTTCAAATAATTGAAATACTATTTAAGTATTTTCAGACATCACATTTATTTAGAATTTATTAGAACAAACACATTAAACATTATTTGTTGCAATAAAATACAATTGAAGTGTTAAACAAGCTATAATGCAATAATATATATATATATATATATATATATATATATATATATATATATATATATATATATATATATATATATATATATATATATATATATATATATATATATATATATATATATATATATATATATATATATATATATATATATAAAATAATATATAGGGTGGTTTTTTTTTTTAACTTTTTTTTAAAAAAACAACCTCTAAATGTGTGCAAAATAATAAAATAACACTAGGTTTAATTTTTTTTTTTTTTGAATAAAAAATATTTTAAGGGGTCCCCCAAGTCCCTTGAATATTTTACGGGTCCCTAATATTAAAAAATAATAATTAATTATTTTGAACAAAAATAATTATTTCAACTTATTTATCATAATTATCATTAAAAAACTTTAAAAAAAGCACTTTTTTTATTTTTTGTTAAAAACATGATTTTTTATGCAATAAAACCTAAAATAATTATTTTTATTCAAAAAAAATTTTTTTTTTGAGTTTTTTATGAATTTTTTTTTAATATTAGATATTCAAGCGTCTTGGGGGGCCCCTTAAAATATTTTATATTCAAAAAAATTGTAAACTAAGTGTTATTTTATTATTTTGCACACATTGAGAGGTAGTGCCTCTAAATGTGTAAAAAAACCACCCTATATATTATTATATATAATATATATATAAGTTAAAAAAAAACCACCCTATTATATATATATATATATATATACATGTCTGATTTGTCTAAAAGCAGTTATTACTTGCACCAATTATTTATATACCTAAAAACAGTTATTACTTGCACTTACAATTTATAACTGAAAATAGCATTACTTGCACTTTATATGATTAATTGATTATAATTATAATATCTAAAAACAATATTCAACATTACATAGATTTTAACTATTTATTCTAATAAAATTATTGCATTAATTTGTTTACTTGAACACATTGATTTTGTTCTAAATATAATAATAAATGCTCAAATCATTTAAAAACATTTTTTTTCAATTGAACAAAATTTCATTGCACAAATGTTAAAATTGCATCATAGGAATGACAGCATAATCATTATCAATTGGTAGGCGAACATATTTTCTTTTAATTTCTGTTGGTGAACAGTATAGCAATTCGTTTTCCAAGCAAGAAACTTTAAAAATATCCACCTTCATAGAACAGCATGGGTATGTAAAAAAACCTTCAAGTTTTTTAAACTGTTTATACAAAATAAAGGACTGCTCAGCTGTTTTTACAATATTCTGCACAATAATTACTTTGCCATTGTTCAAGCTAAAACAGTTATCTCCATCTGTAATTTTTATGCACCAACGCTTGGTAAACAATTCCTTGTACTGAGCACATACTTTCAACGATTTGACGACTGGCCCATTATAATGCTCCTTCTTAAAGTATGTACTATTATGCTCACTTTCGTTTTTTTGTTTTTGTTGAATTGCTCTCTTCTCACCAAGTCTTCGAACTATTTGCTGCAAAGGCAAGTGAGGCTTCCGAACGAGTTTCTTTAACTGAGATAAATAATTCTCAAATGGAAATGATGAAATATTGTCCAGAGGACCAAATTTTTTAGCATCATTTGACAAATGTACCAGCCCATGCATATTATATGTAATAACTTCTCTGCCATAAACCTCAGAGACATGCTCTACAAATAGCAATAACAAATTATGCGCATACGAAGCATATTTCTTGCATAGAAATTCACTTAGCAAGATGCTCATAGCAACAGATAAAAGCATAAAGTTATTATAGAGTGGAGGTGAAAGAATCCCATCAAAGCAAACCATGCCTGTATAAAGCAATAATTGCCTAAATTCTGTTGCTTTCCAACGTTCAAATTCATGAAATGGCCGTGGCTTACGCGCAAATTCCAATGGAATGTAAGGTCTCATGTCAACCAATTTTTCTGATAGATCTTTGACCACACGTGGGCCAAGTCTGGTGGCTAAAGGTCCCTTGAGCCACATAAAAACCATTTTCTTCATTACGCCAAGACAAACTAAATGCATGTAGTCTGCAGGTACCTGTGATATCATTCCTAATGATGGAATAGCAACAAGTGGGCTTTTTCCATAATGATGTTTCTGATATTTCATTTCTAGAAATGATGAGTCTGTTCTAAGAGCTGCTGCTGTTTCCGGAAAAGTTGTACGCCCGGCATAAAAACCATGTTGTACACATTTATCACATCCATGATATGCACTGTGACCCTTAATACATTTAATAAAAGCTCACGCTGGGGTGTCACAAACCAGAGCAGAAATTTTTATTTCATAACACACATTGTTATATATGATTCCTTTTCTTGAAGGTCTTTTATTTCCTCAACAAAGTCTTTCAAAAATGCATTAATATCAGTCGGCTTGCTATTTCCACAGTATAATGCAACTGTAAACGGCTCCCTATTTGTTTGAACCACATCATCAAAATGTTCCATTAAACACAGAATTGGCCACAACTGTATCTTTGAACTTTTAAATAATGGCAATCCATCAATATTGAATTGTAACATAATTACCTGATTCACTGTCGTACCTTTAGCAACTAACTGTGACAATCTATTAACAATCCCTTGCTTTATGCCTAAATAACAATATGAACTGTCACGTACCTGTTTTTGGACTTTTTGGCAAATCAGGGCAAATTTTTCGTAAAATAGTCAGCAAAGCAGCTAACGCAGTAAGTGTAATATTAAAAGAACATGACCATGATGCCAAATCTGTTACAAGTTCTTCCATCATACTGAACTGAGAGCTTTGGTCAGATTCAGAATCGCTCATAATGGCATTTTCAACTTCGTCATATTCATCAACATCACCCAAAGGTGATGCAAAATTCTCTGATGTCTCACTGCAATTGTTAAATAAAGGGTTGAATAAAGGAGTTTGGCTGCTTAATTCAGTAACAGGAACCACTAATGTTTCAGACAATTGAGGTGATAAGCTTGCTGTAGCCCATTTCTCTCTAACATCAATATTATGCTTTTCAGTGTCAATTATTTCAGTTAAAATATGTTGCACTTCGCCTCGAATCTTTCTTCTTTTTGTCCAGTAACTCATTGCTAAAACTGCCTAAAAGTAGCATAACTTTCAGCAAACAGCAAACAAAATAAAAAAATAAAAATATTTATTTACAGTAATGGTTTACCTTA